GAGGGAAGATCAGGTGTGTGGGAATCAGCAATCCCTCTGCATGCAGGGGCCATCACTGGGCTGCTTTGTACTATTGCATTCAGACACCGTGTTCTGAGCGTCTTTGTTATCGTCGCCTGATAAATAAACAGCCCTAAAATTACAGAACTTATTATGGTAATTGAGTGAAGAAAAGGAAATGCAAACCGTGCCTCGCTATCTATTACATTGCCACTGCTAAAGTTGCCTAAACCTGTGCTACTCAAATGATATTGTAATATTAGCCTTCTTTCTTTTTTCACAATGATTGTTTTCTGTCCATCTCAAGCTGGATGTCAGTTCATTTAGATTTACATCAAGTAGTAAATTAAAATAATCACTCAGCAAACACTCTCAGCTCAGTTTTCTCTTTCAGTCAGGAGTTGCGAGAGATGCTTGAAGCATTCAAGCAGAAAATATTGCTGTCTAGATATTTGTCCTCTGGGTGATAAAGGAGGCATTGTCTTGGGACCCACTCAGGCCTCGGAGCTGATAGTAGCTGTGCATCACAGCTGTGAAGTGCGCTTTGTTATGTGTCTGAGGATTAGGGTTCAGGACCTTGTTTTTCTTGAAATACCAGACTGATCAGAGCTGCATATGTTCGGGGGAAAGCAGAGGTCGATGGTTCTCTGTCCACATTTTTACTAGATTATTTTTGGACAGAACTCTGGGAGAATACCCTGCAGCTTAAACCATCCCAAGAGTTTTTCATATTCTGCATTATAACCGTCATGGAAAAAAGGCTGTATTTATCTATCTGCATTTGAAACAAAAGGCTACAGCATCACAGACACGCTGGGCTTTGGACCCACGCTGGAGCAGGCTGAATTTTGCTCTTTTGTGCTCCATTTACAGTACAGTTGCCCATTTAGAAGCACAAATGCACCTTGATATAATAACCAAATTCAAAGAATGTCTGGCCTCAAGGGTAGCACAGACTGACAGTTAATCTTAAAGCAGGGGTGGTGTACAGACAAGGGTGTGGGGGGACAGAAAAAGGCTGTTCTGTGTTTCTCAGCTGTCTGTTCCAGAAAAAAAAAAAAGTGGATTTCTATACACATTTTTGCTATTAGAAAAATTAACCTGCATTTTTTTTCCCCATCCCAGCCACAAAACAAATGAACCAAACACCTCCAAACCAAAGCAGTGTTTATTTTGGCAAAGGTGCTAAGGGCAGAAGTGCTCATAGTGAAGATGCTGTGGTGAGTTAAGTCAATGCTTCCATGGCAGTTGAGGTCTGAGTAAAGGCTGCAGGATCTGGACAAGATCAGCTCATCCTCCTCTTTGTGGCAGCACAAAGTGGGAGTTTGTGGGATGGAGGCTTTGGGGCCAGACTGTTGTCTTTTGGTGATACCACAGGATCTAACTGGATTTTGGTGATAAACAGAGGGCTATCTGTGGTTCTTTTGTTGCAAGTCAATGTGCACATACACATTGCAGATTCAGCTTTCAGTGTCAGTCTGAATCTCTCCCTCCCAGAATGGGGCTCTGATCAATAGGCAGAATATTGCCTTTGAAATTATTGGTGTTAATCACAGAACCCCACAGATGAGATGGGAGGGAGAGCAGCATTTGCCCATGTGCAGGATAATGCCTGGGGGTGGCTTGGAAACACGTCAGTGGGCACAGCTTTTAACCCCATCAAGCTTCTGCACAAATTCTGAGGGTCACCCATACTTCTTTACTTTTAAAATGGAGCCTTTCCATCCACCATTCTTCCATGGAGCCCCATCCCTGCCCAGCACTGGGCCAGCACATCCCTACCACGGCGCTTCAGGTCAGTGGGATGGCTCAGGTGCTCCTCTCTCCATGGAAAACTGAGCTTGGGGCTGTGCTCCAGGGCACTCAGAAGGCAGTTTGGGACACTAGTTTGAGCTTAGGGGGTTTAATGAATGACACTAAGTTACTGTTGTGACAGAGCACCAGCCTGGGCTCAGCAGTCACCAAACAGCTCCTGAACATGTTTGTGTCATTCCAGTCTTTTTGTGGATGCCGTTGCCATTCAGAGGATGATGGTGGCAATTTTCAGTTTTGGTGGGTGTGGCAAGAACAATCTAGAAGTATTTTTTCTGCCTAGACAAACCAGTGCCCAAGACACAAAATGGAGCAATGGGAGCCGGACATGGAATGAGGAGCCTTGGTCAGAGATGGACCTGTGTAATCATTGTTGGAATGAAGCACCAGGCTGCCAGTTTAGTTCCCCACTTGTGTTCTCCTCCTCTGTGCTACTGGACACTGCTGCCCTGTGCTCCTTTCCTGAGGATTTATCCTCAGCCTGTGCATGGACCAGGGCTGTGCCACATGGAATGGGGGAAGTGATTCCTTGTCACTTCAGCTGTGGCCTGGCAGAACTGATTTGCTGCAGTTGTGCCTGCAGAGAGCTGGCATCATGTGAAGGCATTTATCATTGGAGATATGCTGATAGCAAACCTTCAAAAAAATCATGGGCTAGCAGTCAATGTGCCCTTTGTTTATAGGGAGTCTCTTATATTTAGGTATTTTGCTTCACTTCTGCTTCCTCCTTTCTTAGGAAATGACCATGGGGCACTGACCTCTGCTTTTGTGCTCTTAGAAGTCCTCCCTGTCTGTTTTATTTGTCTTCTGACTTTTTTTTCTCTCTCACTAGTTTTTTATAAATACAATTTGGTTTTCTTTTTCCATGCTTTGGAAAGGTTTGTTTTACCCTTCCTCACTCATGCTAGTCCAGCTATCCATCAGGCCTCTTTTTGCCTCGAGTTGTTGCTACTGATGGGATTCCTTTATTACTACACCTTTCATGTGTTTTCCCCCTTCTTTCCTAAATTTTCTTGTTTGTCTGTCTCATATTTATCTTCTTCCTATATCCTGGTAAAACATATTAGAGGTGCCACTTACTTTTCTCTCTAATCCCTTTCCCACCACATTCTCTTATGACTTTGGGAGGATTTTTAACTGAAAATATAAATCAGTCTCCTTTTCCAAAGCTGGACAACAGAAAGGGAAGTTCTCTTGTTGATTACATTTAAAAAAAAAAAAAGACAATTTCTTGAATGAAGGAAAAAGAAATCCTGCTGGGGTAAAATCAGCTCCTGGTGCGAACACCAGGGAGGCAGAGATGTGAAACCTTCCCTGCTGGTACCTGTTCCCTCTGCTCACATGGAGGAAACAGAGGGGCCAGGATATTTCAGAGTGAAAACTGTCATACCAGTAATTACATTGTCTTCAAGGGTTTATATCAGCTGAAAATCAAGTCTCAGAATTTAACCTGATTTGAGTTTTTATGGGAAGAAGAGTTCACACAGGCCTATCGTGATGCTTTCTGAATTACTTGAAGCACACATTGTTTTCTAGATATCTCAATACCAGTGAGAATGTGGAATAGCTGAAATTATCAAAATATTGACATAAAACCCAAAGTGTGGCACTGTTATTTGTGAGTGGTGTGGCTTGGGTTTTTCTGCTGCAGTCACCAACCACTGCCATCAGAGCCCTGCATGAAACCAGGCACAGGAAGGGGGAATTACCCTAGTTCTTTTCAATTAAAAGAAAAAAAAAAAGGCAAATAAAAAAAAAGAGAGGTAATTTCTTGACTGCAGGAAAAGAACTGCTGGGGTAGAAGGTTACCAAGGCCTCTGGCTCCTTGTGTGGACCTGAAGAGAGTATTCAGAGTTTAAACACAAGCAGGAGATCTCTGAGCACAGGAAACAACAACACAGTCCAGGGTGAGAATTCAGCAGAGAGCAGGAGGGCATTACCTTACCCTGTGTGTATCCAGCCCTGGCAGGAGAGGGATCCCACAGATCCTTGTGGTTATAAGCTCCTGCTAATTTGAGAAGTGTCAGGAATGGCAGTGGGATTTTCCCCTCAGCTGTCGGGATCTCGGGTGTGTATCTGATTAGATGGCACCTTCCAGGAGCACAAGCGGTCTGTGACAGTCTCTGTGCAGAGCCTGGCAGAATGGCATCACTTTGCTAGAAATAAAGGATCTTTATTTGATTTACTTGATACCTAACATCTTTGTTAGGGAACAAAGTCTGTGTTATGGCTGCTGCTGTGGGACCTGAAGAACTGCACCTGTTTTCTGGTCTAGCAGTTGTGAATTGACATCAGGATAATAAATGCACCCTTCCCTGGTGCCCTCCTGCTGGAGATCCACAAGGACCTCTGCTGTACTTCTAGTTCAGTCTTAGGAAATCCTGGAAGTGTGCAACCTGTAGGGAAAACCAGGTGCCTTGCATCTGAAGGCTTCCTCCCTCTAATAACACAAGTGTTACCTTGGTGTTCTCCTGGACTGTGGGCCCTCAGGTTCCCTTTTGCACGGGAAGGCAGGCAGTTTCTGAGCAGTGCCTGCATATTCCATGCTAAAAGGGCAGCTGAAAAGGCAGCCTTGGCTGCAGCTGCTACCTGGAGATCCTGAGGCCGTTGTTTTCCTTATTTCATCTGTTGCTAGTCAGCTGGAAAGCACAGTGACCTATGAGTAATGTGGTCATCCCCAACTCATGCTGATAAAACCTTTACACTGCTGCCTCTTGCCATCTCTCCTTCTCTATCTCTCTGAGATGTTCTGATCCAATCTTGACTTCCTTTGAGGTAGGGCATTCTGTCTTAATGCCCTAACCCCCTTGGAGAGTCAGAGAGAAATGATTTTGAGATGGTTTTTTGTTGTGTTTTTGCCTGATCAAGTTGTCTGCAGGGCTTTTATACCAGAAAGGACAGGACTCTATGGCCATAACCCTGGGGCCCTTTAGGACCCTGCTCCTCTCAATCAGAGACTGCTGCTGAAGGCAGAGCAAAGGAATTTCCAAATCCCAGGATATCAATTTGGCCCTATGGGCAGCAAACCACCAGGTGCAGCCCCCTAGAGTTGGGAAGTAGCAAATCTCAATTGGTTTTTGATCTCTCCACCTTCTGGAGAGATCAGTCACCTGGAGAGGGCAGTCACCTGGCATGTCTATAATTCTTGTTTCCATCACTAATAAATTATTCTTCTTTATTCCTTACAGATCAGCATGCTGGATTTTATGGAGCATTTCTGGAGCTGAGGGACAACTGTCTGGGAATTTCCAGGTAATTGCCATTTCTTCTGCTTCTTTCATGAGCTGCTCTGGATGTTGTGACCTTCTCCTTGATCTCAGGCTGCAGGTCTCTCTCCTAATCCTCCCAACTGGCAACCTCATTATTAGATTGTTGTCCTGAGTTGCATCTTTGAATGCAAAGTGAAGGATGTTCTGGGTCCAGCCAGGAGAGTTTGACCAGGAATCGATTTTGCTTGCACTTCCTAGAGATACAAATGATTGAATATTTGCTGGATAAAGAAGTGTTTCTGTCTATGTGATCCTGCCTATACCTGTGCTTAGTGTTGGAACTTACCTTTCTTGTCCTGACAGAAAAACTGTCGCTTTCTGACTGCACAGTTTTCACCTATTTGCCACCTTTTTAAAGAGCTGAGATTTACCATGGATTTCTGTGGTTGGTTCTAGTCTGTTTCATATTTACATCATCCTAATTCCTTTAAGAGACTCCAGATTCAAGTGAGGTAGGGTTACAGTGGGGACCTACAAAAGAGCACTGGGTGTGATGGTTTGAGGGCCACCACACCATGGGCACACCAAGCCCAGCCCTGGCAGCAGCAGCTTTGTGCCCTGCCTGACAAGGTTGTTCAAGACCCAGAGAAAAGCAGAGTGTTTTTCAGGCTGGCACTGGTCCATCCTCACTATGATAATGTGGGTGTTGTGAGTTCCTTGGGGCAGGGACTGTGGTTTTCCATATGTCTTGAGTTGCCCCAAGATTGTGGCTGGCATTCTGTGAACCAGAGCTAATAAATCGAAGCCAGTTTTTCCTCATGCGCTTCACAACCTACTCCATTTTGGAATGGGAAAACCACGTACAGCTCGCTGCAGGCTTTGTCAAATTATTCCTCCCCTTCACACTTGGACTCTTCTTCATTTTCCACACACTTAATACTCACCCAGCTCCTTTCTGTAACTGGCAGCTGATCCAATTACACACTAGAGGTAGAAATACTGAAGTCTTACAGTTCAAATGTGGAATGATATGCATAGTCACTTTGTCACTCAAATCCTTAAAAAAAAAAAAAAAAAAAGGAAAGGAAAGAAAACTCAGACTGGCTGGCCATAATTAAGGGCAGAAAACAGAGCACACGGTTAATATGTCCCTGGTTTGCCAATACTGGAATGTCACAAGTCCCAAGCCAGAGCCATGTGGCTTCCCAGATAAAATGCTGGCTTTTTTACTTCTGGGGCTACAGTTCAAATCCAGCTTAAGTTCTAAATGAGATGAGACCCTTAACCTATGCCAAAACTGGGGATCCCTCCAGGTCACAGCTGAGGTTATTGGCAGGTCACTGTGATTAAGCCTGTCTTCTGTTGCCTTCAGCACACTTAATGGCATAAATAAAGGGATTGAGGTCCAAGCCCTTCCACAATGCCAAGAAGCCTGAAGTATCAGAGATGACAATGAAGGCCTGGCTATAATGACCCACTTTGAGTTAAAGTTAGGATGAGCCTAAGAAGTACCCCTTGCTCACCCTGTTGCCCTTGAACTGCTGTGTGTGTTGTATATTATTCTGCCTGCTTCCAGAATTGCATTTTTGGAGAATTCTGGTTCAGATTCTCACCTGGATTTGTGTTCAGACAGTATTTTGCATTCGGCTTGTAAAACTGCATAGCAGTACCAAAAATGTAGGAACCTTCAAAGTCTCCAAGCTCCTCTGGCTCCCACCAGAGAGCCAGAGATGAGAATCCCATATGACAAAAAACAAGCAATAATTAAAAATCCCTATTTTGCCCAAAGAATTCCTTTGTTCAAGGTATGTAAATGTCTTTGCCTGCTTGTAAGTTATTTCATTTTTGATAGTTCCTTAGCTCAGTAATGTGAGCTTGGGAATAGAGGAGTCTGAAAGGAGTGTTACTCTGAAACAAAACACCTGTCTTTCAGTCAAGGCTAAATTGACAAGCAACAATTTAGTTGTCTAAACTCAGAGCTTTCAGGATTTCAGACTACATAAATGTCAAGATGCCTAGGTAGGGCTCAAAGGTGAGCGACAATGTAGGCAAATATACATTGGAACTTCAATTATCCAACCCCTGATCACTCTCAGTTACCTGAAGTTTAAACATGTCTGCTTTCACTCTAGTTTCTACATTTTTCTGTAAAAACCCTTTGTACTGAGTCACCTGTCTTTGCCCAGTGGAGTCTGTAAAGTTTTAAGAGCTCATCTCCTGGGGAGCTTGGTGTGTCTGCCAGATCACAACCCCTCTCTGATGGAGCCTGTAATTATTCCTTCATGTCACCTGGTGCATTTGGATAGAAGTATTAAAATCAATAAATTACTGTTTTCAGCTTTGCTGTCCCAGCCACATTCCCCTTTTCCATAGGCTGGGTGTCACTGAGGCACCTTCCTCCTGACATAGAGTGTACCTGCATGGAAATGCATTGAAACCTGATTTGAAATTCTTTAATGATTCCCTGAAGGGAGATTGTATCCTCTGATGAGCAGGGCATGGACTTTGCTACTTAGCAATAGTCACCATTATTGCACCAAATTCTTCCTTTCATTGCTCTCCTGTAAAATCTTTGGCATTGACTGACATCCAAGGGCCAAATATGCCTTGATTTCCACAGTTTAGAAGGTTATAAAGCTGCTGAGATCCCAATCAAGACCCTCTGAGAGATTTTGCTTTACATTTTCCTGACTTCAACACTTTTTCTCAATACATCCTAGTTACTTTTGAGGGTTTTGCTGTGATTTGAGAGGTAGCAGTTCACATTGGCAGGTCCCTACACCAGCTACAGAATTAAAAATTTTGAGCTGGCAGTAAAGTATGTGAGACCTCCTCCCCTCCTTTTGCATCTTTATGTTTTTCAGCCTCATTTTCACCCCGTTCTTGCCTTACACTTTCCACTTTTAGTTTCTCCCAGTGCTCCCTAACATCATCTGTTCTCTCTGAGGGGTGGAGGGAGTCCCTTTCCTTTTCTCCTTGCTCCCCAGCAAGCATTTTCCTCTTTATCCTTCAGAGGAGGCATCTAAACCAGAGTAAGGAGAGGAGATTTTTGTCTCATCCCCCAAAGAGAATTTGAATAGGCCAGTGTGCTGGGCAGAGCCTTCTGGGGAATGAGGGAAGGAATGCACCCATCTGGGCTGGGGTCCCTTTCCAGAGATACATTCCATGGTGGCACTGGGGGATGAAAGCTGCTGTGCAAGTGCTGCCTCCTCTGCAGTGCAGGATTTTGGGGTAGGATGAGCCCCCTGAACAATAAACCAGGCCCCCTGAGGAAGAAAAAGGGGATTTCAGGCCAGGTCAGGCAATGTCTGCCTTCCCTTTAGCTGAAGGCAAAGAGCTTGATCCCAGCAGAACAAATGGCATAAGACATGGAGGATCCAGCATTGCACAGGAAAGTGAAATCCTGTTCTCCACTGAAAGCAGAGTTGCACAACTGAACCAAAAGGCAAAATGCAGTCCAGTCATCTGTTGCTTTGGGAATGGGAAGAAAACAAAATTAAATGGGGATATTAAATTGTAAGTTTTGTGGTTAAAGAGAAATCTCATTTGCCTGGCAGCAAACTAATATTGCCAAGAAAATACAGCAGCATAAGAAGAGGAGAGAGTGCCCATTTCAATGTTAGGAAGTTCTGGTATCTTAGGTGTTTCATGGCCATCAAAAATTGAAATAAATTAAAGTTCCACTTTAATTGAATTACACAATGACATCAATCTAAACATTAGTAAACAGATGCAATTCTGTGCAATGCTTTAAATTGCGTTTTCTCACATATGCATTTAATTTAAATTTATTGAGATGGTTATTTATGTTAATAAAATAATTAAAAGCAGTTATTTAAGACTAACTATGAAGTAGCTGTGTAACTACCTATATTAATAAGACAGTTAGTTAAGGGATAATGTCTGTTGCTTTATGGTGTAATTGCAATAAACAGCTGCTGAGTTTGATTAAGAGCTGAAGTGGAGCTAAAGTGTTTGAGCAATCTCAGAAGCTATTTGTTGTAAGTGTACTACAAAGCAATAGCGATTATTCCTATTATACAAAAAGCCATACCATAAACATTAAAATATAGCACATAAGTAAGATGCTTTTTTCCTGGGTTGTTCCAGCATCTCCGTGGGAATGGTGGGGCTGGAGAAGGAGAGCTGGACTTTAGTGCAGAAGGGACTTGGGAGGGGCAATAATTGTGTCAGGTTTTGCTCATACCCAGATTCAACCCTGTGTGAGAAAATCAGACAGGGCTCAGTGCTTGTGAGTTGTGTTTTTTCAGGGGTGTCATCATTTGAAAGTCTCTGGCTGAATCCCTTTCCAATTTTATAGAAAAATTTCAACCATGGCACCAGCTCTGACTTAGGAATTTCTTCAGCTTTTTTTTGGAGTATAAACAGGAGAGTTGAACGTAAAGAAAAACCCCTTCTGTAACTTTGACCATGCAATGGCCACTGCCACTCCATAACTCCATCACTGACATATGGAGCACCCAGTTCCCAGAAATCTACTTTATGGCACTGACATACCAAAACCACAGACCATTAATTTCAGTGGGATCAAGGAAGCAAATATTGCCATTATTTACAAACTCCGTATTTTTCTGCTTCTGGACTTGTACATAAGACATTTGCCCTCAAAATTTCTGCCATGTTAGTGTCCCACAAATTCCATAGCAAGTCAGGAAAAGAGGGGCTTCATTACTTAGAAATCATCTTTTATTTCACCTTTAATTTGAGAGCACCTTTGAATGGTGAACTCTGAGGCTTCAATTGAGGCACAAATGGAAAGGGCAATCCTCAGCCTTCTGCTGTTCCTCATTCCTGTGCCTCTCTCAGAGACTGGCAGGGCTGTGAAACACTGCCAAGCAAAATACAGCCGACATGGATCTTGCATATTTAGGGCTTTGTAATCAGCTGGACAAGTCTCAGAACAAGAGTTTGTGGGGTTGGGGGTAAGAACGTGTCCTGGGTGTCCTGCTTCAGGCCCTGAGCTCCTTTTGACATTGTTGGGAAGCTCTCAGGGAAGTTCTCACTTTCAGCCAAACCCAAACA